TACATTGACCCCAAGTATTATGTTAGCATCGAAACAAAACGACTATTGAGTTATTGCTTCCATACATTTATTTATAGATTACGTATCGTTATGCGCTAAACGTGTCTCGTGGTACGGGGTAGGGTGAAGGAAGCGGTCATTCAGATATAATAAACTTGTTTCGACGCGATTTGCGATAGGTTTCACGCCGTGCGTATTTGAAAAAGCGGATGGAGCAGAACTCATTCCTCATTCTGTTTTGGGAATTTGGGATGCGCTTGCGAGTAGATAGTTTGAGATTTAAAATTTTCGGTTATTGTAGTTGTTTTAATTTTTATTAAGTTTGTTTTGTTAGTTGTATTATTACGTTTTGTATTAAAGTTTTTGTTACTGTTTTGTGACTTTTTGTATATTATCACTAGTATAAAATAGGGTCCATCGATATAAAAATCTCATAAATAGTAAAAACAGACTAGACTTTACGTCACCACGAAGGAAGCGGAAAGTGTCGCATATTTCGGAAACCGAAAAAATAATGATAGTAAACGTCCATAAATATATAAAAGATACGTAGACTAGGGGGATAAGTCGCTCGCGTCCGTAGGCTTTGACCACCTAATCCTAGGCCCACCCTACACGTGTCCCCCGGGTGGTGCTAAATGAGCGACAAGCCGATAGCACAGACTCGGCTCCTCGCCGTGGTAGCGGCGTTAAATATACCACCCCATTCGCACCATGAGGAATCAAATTAAAGAAATGGCCCCGAGTTCCCGGCGCCCCTTTAATGGGGCAGGGGTGCGAAGAATCTCCGGGAGGAAAACCGGCGACGAGGCTCGCCACCCGTCACGTTCTGTCTCCCGGAGGGGCGAAAAGTGGATTGCAGAGGCCCGTCTGGCTACGTTGAATGTATGTGGAGCAATGAATGATAAAATGGATGAAGTATGCGAGGTGATGTATGATAGAGGAATAGATTTGTTATGTGTAAATGAGACGAAACGGAAGGGGAAGGATGTCACTACACATGGCATGTATACCGCATACTGGTCTGGTGTAGACGAGCTCGAGCGGGCATGCCAGGGAGTAGGTATCATCCTATCAGAAAGAATGGTGCAATGTGTGAAAGAGTATGAATGTGTAAGCCCAAGACTGCTATGGATACGATTGAAAGTGGGCTTAAAGAAGTTGTTTGTGCTAGGGGTCTACGCCCCAGACATGTCTAAGCCCACTCATATCCGAGAGCAGTTTTGGGAAATGGTAAGGATGGTATTAATGAAATGTAAGGGAAATGAAAATGTTGTTATGCTAGGAGATTTTAATGGAAGAGTTGGGGTGAGGAGGCTTGGTTATGAAAGGATATTGGGAACGTTTGGTGATGAAAGTATAAATGAGAATGGTGAAAGCCTCCTCACTGTATGTATGGAAAAGAATCTTTTTGTGACGAACACTTTCTTTCGCCACAAGAGGATTCACATGTACACTTGGGAAAGAGGTGATGATAGAAGCATGATAGATTTCATAATTGTTGATGAAAGATTGAGGGGCGCAGTGGTGGATACAAGGGTTTACCGGGGGTCAAACGTAGGAACGGATCATTTTTTGGTTTTATGCCGAATTAATGGTCTATTCAGGCGGTGGCGCCATCGGTCATCTGTGTCTACCACTGCGTTACAGCGTATTAGAACAGAAAGATTACAAGATGAAGGTGAGAAAAACAAGTTTAAATGTAGACTGAAAGAAAACGTAAGTGGTTTGGATGAATTATGTTTGAATGAATTAGACTTGGAGAATGTATGGCAAAATGTTAAGAAAGGTTTAGTAGATGCAGCTACCGAAGTATGTGGTGTTAGTAAAAGAAAGAATGAAAGGAAAAATAATACGTTATGGTGGGATGATGAGATACGTACGGAAGTTGAAGCAAAGAAGAGAGCATGGCTAGATTTACTAGCAACTAAGGTTGGTAACTCTAGCGGTACGAATGATGATTTTGAAAGAAAAAAGGCAGTCTTTAGACATCTAAATAAATCATCATCAAAGAAAAAATCTAAACAAATTCTTGCGTCGTCGGCGGCTGAGTTGCAAATGATGGTTACATTAATGAACAGATCATTAAAAGAAAGGGGTATGAAAGTGAACGCAAGTAAGACAAAAATTATGGTTTTTGAAAGAGATGAAAGTAAAACGATATGTGAAATAAGAATAGAAGGGGAGTTGATCGAGCAAGTAGATGAGTTTGTATATTTGGGTTGCGTATTTAGCAGGGATGGGAGATATGATAAGGATATAGAACGACGAGTGAACGCAGGAAACAGAGTAAATGGAGCCCTGCAATCTATTGTGAAGAGTCAAAATGTGTCAAAAAAGGCACGTATGGCAATTCACAATGCTGTGTTGGTCCCTACTTTAACGTATGGTAGTGAAAGTTGGGTATGGCAGAAGAAGCACGAGAGTAGAATAAATGCAGTAGAAATGCGGTCGTTAAGGAGTATGTTAGGGCTGAATCTGAATGACAGGGTGAAAAATTGTGTGATAAGAGAAGAGTGTGGTTTGCAAGATGATGTTGTGACCAGGATTAAGAAAGGAATGCTTCGGTGGTTTGGTCATGTGGAAAGAATGGATGAGGAAAGAGTGACAAAGAAAATTTATGTTGCAGAAGTGAATGGCAGAGTCGGAAAGGGACGTCCTAGGCGAAAATTTATTATAAATTAGGAGTACCCTTAACCGACGAGCATGCATGCGTAGGTGTATGGATGTGAAGGAGGCGAGAGAGGTGTGTCAGGATCGTGCCAAATGGAAGTCTGTAGTCTCTGTCTACCCCTCTGGGTGACAGGCGTGAGTGTTTATGTTATGTTATGTACGTAGACTAGTACTAGACCAGTGACGTATATCCATCCAAAACGGATATATAAAAGAAGACTGCCGATATTTTAGGTTATAATCAATGTGACGGACTCTTCTACGTCTTCGTCATCATAAAACGATTCTGAAATAGAGTGGTTATGTTTTATATGTATAACTACCTACCTACCTACTTATTAAAGTACTTGCCTACTATTAACGTAATAATGAAAATTGTGATAATGATTCATAAATAATAAATTAAAATTAATTTGCTTTTAAATTCATTTAGATACAGGATAATCTTCTTTCTTTATAATATAATAATAGACATAGAACCTGTAAAGAAATACGAATACAAATGTTTTAAGCAATTGTATTACATTTGATAAAAATACTTTTTTCTTACAATTAAATCAACGAAACGAAACAAAACTTAACACATTTAGATTGTTGCTTTTGCTTGTTGTCACCATAGATAATACTATATGTGGAGTGTAGAGGTAAGGAGTACAGACTCTGTATAAAAAAGTGTCCGTAGGAAAGCGCTAAATAAGGGTAGCGCCACTATAGCTACAGTCTAAATTTAAAAAAACTTTTTATGATTTTTCTATTGCACAGACTTTCACCATAATTCTTTTTACAATAATTATTTAAAAGTTTTTATTTTCAAAACCACTCTCAACGCATTTTACGGCGATTTATATCCCTGTAGCTACTCGAGCGCCGTTGTGTAGAGTTTCTGAACTGTTATTTACTGCTTACAGATGGACACAATTTCAACTATTTTCCTATGGTAGATTGACCTCCTTACTTCTATACTCCATGATATTATAGTTATCAGTTTTCACCACAGAGATTAAGCTTCATGTTTTTATCAAAGCAGTAGCTTCATTAGAAAAGTGAGACAACTACAGTTAGTCAATTGCTTATTTTGACAACACTTTCGTGTGACGTCATTAGGTCATCCATGCGTGACTGCGTCACCATGTTACGCGCCAATTTTTGTGGTAGATCTGTCAAAAGTAGATAATTTAAATGACACACAATACATAACATTAAAACCATGAAGATTAGAGAAATGGAGAACGATCACTACGTACTAAAGCATAGCCCGCCTGTCCTTGAAAATTGTAGTATACATAGCGGCGCTGACGTCGGTGAGTAGTGACTGCGAAGTTAGCCGTTTATGAGTACAAGTAGATGAAGTAAGTTGAATAATGTGCAAAATATTTTCTCCACGGCATTGGTGAGAAAATTTTCATACTCCGTAATTTTGTAATTTTTGACAAAAACAAACATTAAAAAATGAAGAAATATTATATTGTGCGTGGATGTGCAAGTGATTTAGCATCTGATCGGAAAGATAGACTGAAAATGACTTTTATTGACCGAACTTGTGGTGTCCATATTTCTGGGACACTATTTTTTACGGCGATCGTTCTCCTGTTCTCTAACCTTCATGATTGAAACTACTCTGGCATACCCAACTTCATTTACCGGAATAATACTAATCTCTATGGTACGGCCAAAATATTTTCTCCACGGCATTGGTGAGAAAATTTTCATACTCCGTAATTTTGTAATTTTTGACAAAAACAAACATTAAAAAATGAAGAAATATTATATTGTGCGTGGATGTGCAAGTGATTTAGCATCTGATCGGAAAGATAGACTGAAAATGACTTTTATTGACCGAACTTGTGGTGTCCATATTTCTGGGACACTATTTTTTACGGCGATCGTTCTCCTGTTCTCTAACCTTCATGATTGAAACTACTCTGGCATACCCAACTTCATTTACCGGAATAATACTAATCTCTATGGTACGGCCAATACGGGAAATACATAAATACCGCACTTACTTTGTCTGGTATGTGTCTTCACAATTTATGATATTTTTCAAAAGTAGCGTTCATCTCATTACAGCCCTTCGCAAGTCCACTGCTGAACATAGGCCTCCCCCAAGGTATGCCACAAATTACGGTCCTGAGCCACCTGCATCCATCGACTTGCTGCATGTCTTACCAGGTCGTCACTCCATCTAGTGGGGGGTCGCCCTATACTACGCCTACCGGTACGAGGCTGCCACTCGAGAACCTTTCTTCCCCATCGATTATCGGTTCTTTGAGCTATATGGCCGGCCCATTGCCACTTCAGCTTACTAATCCGTTGGGCTATGTCGCTCACTCTGGTTTTACTGCGGAGATTGAGAGCATAGCCCTCTCCATAGCTCGCTGAGCGACCTTAAGCGTCCTCATACGGTCAGCAGTGAAGGACCACGTCTCTGATCCGTAAGTCATCACTGGCAACACGCACTGGTTGTACACTTTAGTTTTCAGAGATTGAGGTATACCTGAGGAGAAGATGTGTCGTAATTTCCCGAACGCTGCCCAGCCGAGTTGAATCCGTCGATTGACCTCTAAGTCGAAGTTGGACTTACCTAGTCGGACTATTTGTCCCAGGTACACGTACTCGTCAACAACTTCGAGCATAGTGCTCCCAACAACTACCGGCATAGGTGTGACATGGACATTAAACATGATCTTTGTTTTGTCCATGTTCATCTTAAGACCTATCCGTTGGGAGACACCATTGAGGTCATTGAGCATAGTGCCTAGGTTCTCCAGCGATTCTGCCATAATGACTATATCGTCGGCAAATCGAAGGTGAGTGATGTACTCGCCATTGATGTTAATACCGTATCCTTTCCAGTCCAGTAGCTTGAAAACGTCTTCCAATGCAGCGGTGAAGAGTTTCGGGGATATAACGTCACCCTGTCTTACACCTCTCTGCAGTTGGATAGGTTTCGAACTCTGGTTCTGTACTCGGATTGCCATCGTAGCCCTACTGTACAAACACTTCAGCACTTTGATATACCGACAGTCAACTTGGCACCGCTGAAGAGACTGTAGCACCGCCCAAATTTCGACGGAATCAAAGGTTTTCTCATAGTCCACATACGCCAGGCAAAGTGGCAGATTGTACTCTTCGGTCTTCTGTATAATCTGCCGCAGGGTATGTATGTGGTCTATGGTACTGAAGCCTTTTCGGCAACCGGCTTGTTCGGTAGGCTGGAAGTCGTCGAGTCTGCGTGCGAGACGATTCGTAATGACTCTCGAAAACAGCACGTAGACGCGGCTCAGAAGGGAAATCGGTCTGTAGTTCTTCAAGAGAGCGTTGTCACTTTTCTTAAAGAACAAGACCACCGCACATCTGCTCCACGCCTCCGGAGTAGTGCCACCATGGAGGACGGAATTGAAGAGCTTCTGAAGGACTTCAAGTACCGGTGTTCCACCCGCTTTCAGAAGCTACGCTGTAATTCCATCCTCGCCTGGGGCCCTGCCGTTTTTAAGGTGCTGGAGAGCCATTCTAATCTCGCTCAGACTGACGTCCGGGATATCATCGGAATAGTGTCAGGTAAGACTTGCTCTTGGATCATTACTCACACTTGCGTGTGGCTCCAACGATGATGTGTACAGCTGCCCATAGAACCTCTCAATCTTACTCAAAATCTCAGGTGCCTTAGAAACGATGCTGCCACACTCAGTCTTCAGCTTTGACAATTGGCTCTTTCTGGCAGACAGATCTCTGGCAAAGACTTTGGAGCCCTGGTTCCGCTCGATCGCTTCTTTAATACCAGCAGTATTAAATTTGCGTAAGTCTCGCCGCATGCATTTGGAGATCTGTCTGTTCAGTTGCCTGTATGCTGTCAAATCTGTTGACGATTGCAGCCTCATCTCCCGTCTAACAGCCATGAGATTAAGAGTGTGATCGGAGAGTTTTTGTGTTCTTCTGCGGCGGGTCTTGCAGAACTTAGCTCCGACCGCATGGACAGTTTCCACGAGCTTGTCATTAATATCGTCCACTGCATTGCAATCTTCTAGGCACTGAAAGCGGTTACGTAACTCGAGCTGAAAGGTTTCGGGATTCTGGATTAGAGCACGAGGGGGACGGTGCGTTGACTTCATTAGACGAGACCTCTCCAACTTAACGTTTAGGTTCAGTGTGCCTCTAACCATTCGGTGATCGCTGCCGTTTTTCACCCTTGCGATCACTGAGACATCACTGAACAGTTGGCGTCTGGTCGTCATAATGAAGTCAATCTCATTTTTTGTCGAACCGTTGGGACTCGACCAGGTCCACTTCCTGTGGGGCCGCTTCTGGAAGAAAGAGTTTATCATAAAGAGTCCCTCTTTCTCCATAAAGTCAGCCAGCTGCTGGCCCCTACGGTTCCGTTGCCCTACTTCAAATTTCCCTACCTTCAGCTCACCGCCTTCTCTTGTGCCTAGTTTTGCGTTGAAGTCTCCCATCAACACCGTGTAGTGGGTTTTGGAGGAATGCATGGCTCTAGAAATATCCTCATACATTTCCACCACTTTATATTATAAACTGAAATTTTATTTTTTGTTAAAAAATACTGTAGCCGTACACTGTATTTATAAAAATACGGTATCCAGTAGATGGCGTAAAATACGGCAGATCTACTCTAATTACAATGTATCTGGCACCATTGCTTATGCATCAGATATATTAAAACGAATCTAAAATCCAATTGTAAACACAAATCGATTCGTATCAATTTCTCAAACTAGAAAATCCGATTTCAAAACTCGACTTAACTAAGCAAAACTCTGATTTAAACTACTTTTACGGATTTTATCGCGTTTATTTTTACTTTTAATTATTTTTATTTTTAATTCCCGACGTTTCGGGCGCTTTCCAGCACCCATGGTCACGGGGGACTGAGATGACTGACGTCCCGATGTCATTGTTAAACCCGGAGTACCTTCAGCTTTTTTAATTATTGTTTATGGTCCGATCTATGCAAAATGAACTATGTCCTGAGGTCTTGCAGTGGTATGCTTGGGTTTAGTTTTAATTTTATTGATTATAGGATCCCAAGCAGGTGGTTGTACCCAGCCTCCTTCTCTATTGAAATTAGGATGTTTTTTAATTTCAATAGCCTCACGTATCATCCTTGGTAGGAATCGGTGTTCTTTCGCGAGGATTTGTGGTCTATCAAATCTGATGTAATGGTTGGGGCCGTCCAGGATATGATCACAAACTGCAGACTTCCCGGAACGTTGATGTTTCACATCAGCTATATGTTCGCGGGTTCTAATTGATCTTTTTGTTTGTCCTATATAAGAGAGACCACATTCACAATCAAGCTTGTGCACTCCTGCATCTAGTAGAGGAATATGACACTTGACGGATGGTAGGAACTGACTAATCTTCTTCGGCGGCTTGTAGAATGTTCTAATAGAAGCTCGCTTCAAGATATAGCCAATCTTGTCTGTGACACCTCTGACATATGGTTGTACAGCAGTCACACGCTCGACTGTGGCCGGCTTCACTCGGTCACTGTGACGTAGGCGCGGGACCCGAAGCTTGCTCTCGTGCAGAACTTGCTTGACGTGCTGAAGCTCGGTGGCCAGGTGTTTGTTGTCACAGATCCCTCATGCTCTCTGTAACAAAGATTTGCCCACGGTAGCTAACTGTGAAGGATGGTGGTGAGATTCACCGTTTAAATATCGGTTTGTATGGGTCTTTTTCCTATACACAGTGTGACCAATGGTGTTATTAGGATTTCGGATGACTAACACATCTAGGAAAGGTAAGGAATTATTTGCCTCTAACTCCATAGTAAATTGAATTTTAGAGTTTATGGAATTAAGATGTTCTAAAAATGCAGTTACTTTGTCTGATGGTAAAATTGTGAAAGTGTCGTCTACGTACCGCTTGTAGAATCTTGGATTAACAATTAGAAAGGTTTCTCCTCAAAGTCCTCCATGATATATGTCGGCGACAATAGGAAATACAGGTGAGCCCATGGCCACACCGTCAACTTGCTTGTAGAACTTGTGATTTTGTTGTGTCTCCTCTCTGAGTAGCAACAAAAATGTTTAAATTTTATCGAATAGTCAAAAAGCCACCAAAGCGTTTTACATTTACCAATCTCCAAAATATAGTGTACTTTTAACCTTCTTTATTTGCTTTCGCTAAAATCTACTTAAAACAGTAGAAATCAAGCTTCAATTTCTGTCCCCGAAATTCGTCGTCATAGGAAATTCCTACAGAGTCACGCAAGAATTTCCTAAATGGAGCCTTATTTTTAAATACAATTCTGGCCATAGACATATTTTTTAAGTCTGTCAACACCAAAGTATTATTGGGGTAGCGGCCATTTTGTGATTTGCTTCAGTTCCAATATATAATTCGCACTAGTAAATTTTTGTTGTTGGAGGGAAAAAAAAAGAAATTCTGCTGAATCACGGCGTTTGTGACGGTAAGGATGCTTTTCTAAGTCTCTCTTGTGTAATTTGTAGTAGTATACAATAATATTATGCATTTTATCAATAATTTGTCCAACATAACCTAGAATATTAAACGTACGAATTTTTTTATAATTTCTCATCCAAAAACGTTACGTCAGCTGAGGAACTTTTTAATCAGAGGAATAAAAACGTGACTCATGGGAATTGTAAAGAATGATGCACATTAGCGCATTGAACTAAAAAATATTTTATTTTAAATTCGAAAGTCGGTCTGTCTGCCTGTTTCACGACAAACGTTGACTTTTAGACAAAACTGCTAAACTAAGGGGTATGAAGATTATTGTATGGAGACTGGCTTACCTACTGGTCCCACCATTTTGTTTTTTTTTCAAATCAGCGTTCACATGAAATTCTTTCATAAATGGATACTTAGTGTTAATACAAACATAAAATGTCATAAGACAAAAACCCGTAAAGTGTCACATTTCCAAGATATAAGCAACCTAAGTTTTACTTATCCAAGTCGATTTTTTTTAAATTAGCGTTCGATTAAAATACTTTCAAAAATGGATACCTGATATCAATACAAACATAAAATGTCATTAGACGAAATCCCGTAATGGGTCACGTTTTAAAGATATTAAAGTAAAACTTTGGTTGCTTATATCTTGAAAATGTGACACTTTACGGGTTTTCTTCTAATGACATTTTATGTTTGTATTAATACGAAGTTTCCATTTTTGAAAAAAATTTAAGTAAACGCTGTTTGGAAAAAAAGTCAAAATGGCGGACCAGTAGGAAGGCCAAAATCTTCAATGCCCTTTTGATTAAATTTTGTACAGATGTAGTCAAAGATGTGATAAAAAATGTAGTCCACGTGAAATTGTGAACAAGTCTTGGAGACAGTTAGTAGTTACTATTAATGTAAAAATTAATCTTCTATGCGTTTGCGCAGCGTTCATCTTTCGAAACTTTGTACACAACTGTACAAAGTTTCGAAAGATGAAAGAAACTTTGATAGAGTGGCACGTTAAGAACAACTTGTTAACGTGCCACTCAAGCGAGTTTCTACGGAAAAAATAAAAACACCTGGAACAAATTCTAAAGTAAAGTTAGTTAGTAAAGTAAAGTTATCTTACATATATACAATTTTAAAATTAGAATAAACTTAAATAAAAATAAAAACTAGAAGACTAGATAATATAATATTTTTTGGAGAGTGTGACTGGCGGGGTGTTATATATATACAGTCAACAACAGCTACAAGCTACGACTTATGTGTTACCGGCCAAACCCGATTACAGGACAAACTAGTTTTGCCGAGGCCAAACTAGTTCTTCCTTTTTACGCATAAAGCTAAATTGGGTGACTAAGCAAAATAACCACGAAGACTAAGGCGGGAGCGAAGCGTAGCGGAGCTCCGCCTTAGCCTAACCTATTTCCAACCAAGTTTTTTTCTTGTCACAAGTTTTCAAAAAGAAAAAATAATTTGGCCTAGGCAAAACTAGTTTGTTCTGAAATCGGGTTTGGTCGGCAACATATGTATCAAATTTCTCCAATCGACTTTGGACTTTAGGACATATGCCGTTGAGTTCAGATTTGTCAATAGAAATTTGAAATTTTGTATAAAGCGTAGTTGCTGTTGACCATACCATGATAACATAAATGACGGCTCGTAATGTCTCTCTGATAACGAAATGTTTTTTCTTTTTGTAAATGTACTATCGATATTTATTTTGATTCTACTTTGATAACAGGTGAGAGTTGCAGAGTTAACAGGAAAAGCTAAAAAATGGCTCTTACACCAGCAGAGAGACAAAAAAGGCACAGAGAGAAAATAAAAAATGATCCAGAAAAATACGAAGCACAAAAAAAGAAGCATGCGGATTACGTAAGATCCAAATCAAAGACAATAAATGAACTAACGGAGGAAGAAAAAGTAAAACAACGCAGACGATGGAGAAATCAAAAAAGAAAAGAAAAAGAAGCACAGAAGTCAAAAACAACTATCACTCAAGAGGCGAATAATCCACCATCGTCCTCCCAAAAGACTGTGAAGAAAGTCAAGAAGGCATCAACAAGACACCATGTTGCAGTGTTCAAGAAATATAATGCTGCCCTTAAAAAAATAGCATCATTGAAAACAACTGTTAATAAATACAAAAAACAATTATTTCGTCAAAAACGTAGATATCAATTACAAATTATTAAATTAGAAAAAGATAAACAGACAGAATTTGATAAATTAAAAGCGAGACAAGAACTATTAGAAAGTTACTTGAAAGTGGCTTACAAAAAATGTAATAATAACAAAGAAAAACAGATTTTTAAGAAAATTACTGCAACGGACTTTATCAAAGTCACAAGAAACAAAACGTATGTGACTAAATTACTCGGTCTCAAAGGAAAAGCTAGATACACTCAGCGCAAACCAAAAAATGAAGCTATAAAAAAAGAAATTGAAGAATTTTATTTGCGAGATGACGTAACTAGAATAACTGCAGGGAAAAAAGAATGTCGCACTGAAAAGAAGAAAAAAGAGCAAATTCGATACCTGACTGATACACTACTTAACTTGTATAAAATGTACGTAGAAGAAGGGGGTAAAAGAAGTTTTTCAATATTTTTTAAATACAAGCCTTTCTACGTTCTATCTCCGAACATTAATAAAAGAGATACATGCCAGTGTATGAAACACGCGAATGTTGAAATGTTGTTTTTTGCACTAAAAAAAAAACAAAATACTACAAAAATATAAAAATCTCACAGATGCATTAAAAGATTTGTGCTCCGATGTAAAATCGCAAGAGTGCATGTATGGAACGTGTGACAAATGTAAAACAAAAGCGTTAAATTATGAACTCAAGGAAGGGCAAGGTGATTTGAACACAGTTTGGCACCAATGTGAAAGACTGAATCACCAATATCAAAAGACTGAACAAGGAACGAGTAAAACATTGACTACTAAAAAAACTGCAAAATCAAGAAAGACTGGAACCATAGCTGTACTGATAAACATCTTCGAAAAAAGCTTGCCTGCTTTTAAAAAGCATGTCTTTAACTGGATTCACCAACAGCGTCAATATCAAGCTTGCATTAAGGAATTGAAACCAAATGAAGCTCTCATCCTTTGTGATTTTTCAGAGAACTATCTATGTAAAATGTCACAGGAAGTACAGGCCACCCACTTTGGCGCTTCAAAAAATCAAATCACCCTCCATACTGGCATGATTTATTGGGCAGATGCAGCTCAATCATTTTGTACTATAGCTGATAACAATTCTCACGAGCCCCCAGCTATATGGGCGCATCTGATTCCGATTATAAAAATGGTGAAAAAATCACCTTTGATAAAGGTCTTGCACGTATTTTCAGATGGACCATCATCTCAATATCGGCAGAAGAGAAATTTTTATTCTGTCAAAAGAGCACTAGATCGTGAAGTTTCATATGGCAAGGATGTGATGGATGGACAAAGTGCTTACGACATTTTGATTATACGTATGGTATCTGTAAAATGCTTTTACATACCAGAATTGGAAATAGAAAATTTAGACAAAATCACGCCCAAAGATCTGAATACTTTGGTCGGAACGATGCGATTGCGTCAAATAATATGCCAGCCTCCTCTAAAGGGAATCTTTCTTGTTTTTGTGGGTGTAATAATAGAGGTTTATGCAAATGTTTCTCACCGAAAACTCACGAATTTAAGACAAAGCACAATGAAACATATAACAACCAAAAAATCTGACAACCAAAAGCATTTTAAAAACTTAACAGATCAAAACGAATGCACAGTATCTGCTGCTAGAAATGTTATAATTAACAATCAAAAGCATAAACCATTTAATTCAAATCTTGAACGTGTATCAGATATTGTTCAAATTCATGATTCAGAACAATTTGATATGCCTAGTACAAATGTAGTCACGTTCAAAGCTGATATTCATGGTGAGAACCAAAGGCATTTAAAAGATAGTAATAATCAAAATAATAACATGGTAAATTCAGCTAGTAAAGAAAGTATCAAGCTAATAAATAAAGAGTTGTATACAATTCTCCCACATGACTTTGAAAGCATTGTTCTACAATATAACGTTCAAGAATCAAGTGATGTGGTGTTCGACAAAAATATGATGATATCGGAGTTTGAAAGAAGCAATGTTTATTATGATGATATAGAACTTTCGTCGTTAAATATTAGTGATGAAACGATTATTGATTCAAATAAATGTGATGATGTAATTATAACAAGGCTTAACAAGAGCAATGATGTGATTATTATATCTTTAAACGAAAAAAATGAAGACATGACGCAAAGTAATGAGAATAGTGAAATGATGAACAATTCTTCTAATAAAGAGAATACAACAAAAATATATGGTTCAAAGAAACGTAAACTTTCTTCTTTGCGCCCATGTGATGCCAGTAAATCCAAAATAAAAATAGAAGCTAATAAACAAAAACATAATAGAAAATATCAGCAATCACAATCTAAATCCATAAGATGTGCCATCACTCGTACTTTGAAATGCCATGAATGTAAAGCTCAGATTCCGTTTACTAACAGTATGAGAAAATGCATAGCCTGTAAAATGTTGTCTTGTACCACATGCGCTGGCAGAGAAATAATTGGTTTTGATGACTATATCTGCGATACTCGTTTTGGAAAGGATGATTTAAATTAAGTTTTCTTTGTTTATTTGTTTCTTAAGTGTTAAGTAAAAGTTTTTAGAGGCTACATTTTGATTATGCCTGACTGAAGTCAGACTGAATAAATGAATGTAAACTGTAAGTACATACACAAAATATTTTAACAATGTTACGGTTATTAAAATGACATACTACATATTGTTATATTTCACATAAGTTGATAGGATTACAATGAACGAACCCTGATCTAAGTCCTTTTTACCGACTTCAAAAATTGAAAAGGAGGAGGTTATCTATTCGTCGCGTTTTTTTTAAATATTTATATACACCGATTACTCAAAACCGGCTAAACCGATTGAAGTGATTCAAACGTTATAACAAATCAAGTTTTTACCAAGTTGGTACCATTTTTTGAAATTTTGAAATCGGTTCAGTAGTTTTCAGGAAATCTTAAAAATACTGTCGTTTTCGTTACCACTTTATATAAATTTAAGACGGATGTTCATTGATTGATGCGGTTTATATGTGTAGTGAATCCTAACCTACCTATTTACAAGTGATGCTTTAAAAAGAGTGAAATAAAAATCGGGCGTGAAACATGTACAATTTTTGTTTTTTGTTCTTTTGTTTAAATCAGCCCAACTTCAAAGTACTTACGTTATTTAGTACGAATATGAAGGCGGTTTCATTTTTTTATAAAAATATTTTTTTGGTAAATAATGTTGTTACATAGTTTTTAACATAAAGTAACAATTTATGTTTGCCTAATTAACTCACAGTTGGTCATAAATGTTCGCAAATGGGAACGCAGCTTAACTCTTTCCTCTGAGTAAATGCTCGTTCCTATGAGTTATTGTCTACCAAAATAGAAGACTTAAAATTTTAATTATTTTCAACTTTAAGGGCGAAAGTGCCATTTTTATTTTGATAATTATATAAAATGATAATGTTTTGTTAATGACATAGAACTATAATTTACATATACACTCAAAATGTTCTAAAAAACAAACAAATGATACTTTTTTCGGTCAAGGCGTTACTCATAGGAAGTGATTTTAGGTGTAAGTTTATGATTTATTATCTAAATGTGTAAAATCTTTAGTTTTATTACAATTTGATTAAGTGTTCCTTTAAATAAATATAAATATAATTTGTGTCTGCAATTTTACTAATCTAACCCAACAATATCGTGATGCAGAGGAATCATCTAGCTGTCCGTGGCGCTTAAAACACGTATTATTTGGAAAACTAAGGTTTTATCGATGCAATGAGTTAATTTTTAATTAAAACATATACTAAAGAATCATAAAATCGCAGTCTAAATTTAAATTTGTACAAATGCATTATTTTCGTTACTCTCAAAACTTTTTACAACGAAAAAAAAAATCGCCCAAGTATAGAGATGGTATAGCGGAAACCAATAGCCTTCTACGGTTTTTCATAATATGAAGATTGTCTTCTGTGAAGTGTATTGAGCATAGCACACTATTTTTGGTAGGAAACTATTGGTCCCCTCGACAAGTAGCGTCGATCCACATCTTTTCCTTTCGGGCCATTTAGGAAAAGTATAACATATAGGTACCACAAATATACGCCACTATTTGTATAAAATAATGACTACAAAAAAGTAAACGATGACCAAACAAATATCGACTTATAAATCACAACACCAGCGATACACGTGCTGTCGTTAGACAAAGACAACTATTTTAATTTACGTAATGAGTGAAAGGGAAATTTCGAAAAGACATCAACGGGTGCTCAAATGTTATCACTTTGAACATTATATTTCCAGTGTAAGTTGAACTCCGGTGCATTTGAAATAAGTTAACGTGATAAGAATAGAATTTAGTTACCGATGAAATATTATGCCATCTTTTTTGATAACTGGATGTCTTATCTGACTTGCCACACCATTTCAACCCATAGGAAGCCATTTGTAATGTATTTTGGATACAAAATTATTTTCAAATTTTCCAAAAGTCGGACGTGCCTACGGGTCACAAACTTGGTCGACACTGATATCGTGATTCTTAGCGTTACTTCGTATGCTAGCTACAGCAAGTATGTGTTGCGCGCCTTTGTGGCCCTGTATGCGGAATCTATTAGGGGGTAATCTGTGGACCCACGGGAATAAAAGACATACGTAAACTTCGATGTTTGCCTGTTAAAACCCGCCATGTTGCATATTGCATGACAAAGTTATTTTTATTTTGTCCAGCACAATTATCTGTGTGACAAACGACATCTTTTTCGCCTATACCAAAATTTTCGAAAACATTATGTAGCATTGAATATATTACATTAGCTCCCTTCTTAAGAGCACGGAGTTCAGGAATTAAGTACAAAACGAACTTTTTCAGTGGCTCTGCATCAACACTAAATAAACTGACTTTAAATCCTGTCAAGAAATACAGTGACTCGATTTTTTGGTATTTATGCGGCAAATGTACCTACCTGTTTGGCAAAATTTAAATACTAATGCATGACGTCATCATAAGTACATGGTTCATGAGGTCCAAGAGTAAGAGTAGAATCCGTCAATGAATCAGTTGCACCTTTGATTACATTGTTACAATATTTTCGTTCAATTTGTACTAAATCAAGGTGCTGTTTCGACTTTTTCACTTTCGTTTAAACCACTCATCCGGCCCAACGTTGTCACGTTTTTCTGACAAGTTGCGAAAAGATCTGTTTTCGACTTCTGTTTAACTTTAGATTTAAATTGGTGGCCAGGTAATCGGCCCGGCAATACTGGACCGTTTTCATTAGAAAACTGTCTTATAAAAGTAACTGCGTCTGATATAGTTTGCAAATTAATACAATTGTGAGGTCGTTTACGTGACCCGTGAACCTTTGGAGCAACACCGCTGTCCAGAAAGTCCTTTTTTTACATTTTTAACCTTTTCAAACCAGTGGCAAATACATATTTAAAAAAAAATCTTGCATACTGAAACACCTTGAAAGAAATACTTTATCGTATACTCTATTCGTTGCAAGTTTCTTTTCTTTGATCTTAATGTATTTTCACTTGTACAAAAGAGAGCATTTAAAGCTCCTTTCAAGACAAAGTGATGGTGATTGACTCCCTCATTAAAATGTGAATTTTATCCGATACAGCCTAACCTACTACTTAATATCACGCCCTTTTGAAATTTGGACACACAATTATTATTACATCCACAACAAGTATCTAAGAATGAGGGTTGAAAATGTCACCAATTTACCGATCTTTGAAAGACTCACAAGTAATAAACTCGATGTCACACGATAATTCTGTATCCCGTTGACTTTTGAACTCCGAATTAAAACTTTCATAGTCTTCATGTTTTACAGACGCTGAATAACTAAACTCTGAAAACAAAACGTTAGAATATAGAATTCTACATAAGTTTTTTTCATATTATGTCTATGACATATCTAACACAACTCCCTAATTGGTATTAGAGCATGCATACAATGATCACGTCTATCTTTTTTGATTTTACACAAGGCTCGATTAATTATCCTACCAAAATCGTAACACTCATGTATTTCATCTTCACTTATTGCTTCTGTATTAGTGCTCTTTTCATAATTTTGATCCGTTTCATTCGTGACTGATGTCGACTCCGGGAAATTAATTTCGAACTTGTAAGCACCTGTAGGTTCAACAGTCTCTCCTTCTGATGGTGAATCCGGTGTTGTTGCGGTAGAGGCCAAAACAGGAAGTGTGTTTACTTCTACCACCGTAGAAAGTGGTATAGACCCATCAGAATACTTAGATTCATCACTGGAGCTGGAACCTTCTGTTGACTCTTCAATAGTTATGTTACCTAAAAACAAAGTTAGAATAAGTAATTATGACTAATTATTCATTCGCTTAGCCTGTTTTCAACATTGTTGCGGTCGGCTTTCGGTTTAAGTGGATGCAGTCGAATTATTACGATTAAAGCTGCTCCCTTTAAAAATAGTATGAAAATATTATAAAAATAGGAACACCAAGAAGAGCCAAAACCATTTTTTTACGACTAACTGACCGCTTGGGTCCGACTTGGCCAATTTTTTATAGCCTATGTTACTTCTAAGGGTTCAGGCCTCCTCAAATTTCATCAAAACAAACAATCAAATCCTTTTTCTTTATAATATTAGTTTAGATACTTGGTGTTAAGACCCGGAATTATGACAAGTAGGTATGACTGTATCCATAAAAACTCCGTATTATTACAATACAGTGGTATATAAAGTAACAGAAAGTCTTACTTTTATTCATTTTTATGTGCACTTTTCACCCACTCAAGTTACTACAACGTGAAAAACGGCTATAATAATAATAAACACGGCTATATTTTCAAACAAACAGATATACCTAGTCAGGTCATAAATTCTGTCACATGTTTAATATAAAATAATTGAAACAAGTTTATTTATTATGTAACCATTTATATACTAAAATGAACTTAACAAAACATAAATTCTTATGACACTAAAATTTATTCAAAATGACCTCAGTGATTTTGAATACAGGCCTTCAATCTGCGCGGCCAGTCGTCTATCGTAGCGCGTACGAGGTCCATGTCAATATCGGCGGCTGCCTTAATCAAGGATGTCGCGAGTGACTCCAAATTGGGATGAGGCTTTGAGCACGCCTTTTCCTCCAAATGTTGCCATATCTTGTAATCTAACGGATTCAAATATGGACTGGAGGAGGGCCAGTCTTCGTGCCGCATGAAGTCGATTTCACGCGCCGCCAGCCAGTCTTGTGTGCTCTTCGCTCTACGAGCTGGCGCCGAATCTTGTTGGAATACCCAGTGCCTGTTATTGAACATGGTATGAGATATAGGTTCCACAAGGTTCGTCAGGACTGTATTTTTATACACAACTGCATTCGTTTTTACACCTTTCTCACAAAAATGTACCTCTGTTAAGCCCCAATAAGAAACTCCCAACCATACTGTTACGAGCTTGAGGTTCGTGACAATAAAAATTGCCGATAGAATTACCTAAATTAACACTTTATTTTTCTTTACACAAAAGACTTAAAACACCAATAATTAATCACACTGATTCACTTTATTTCGCTCCGAAGCTTCGCACGTGTCGCCAAATTAAATACTTCCCCGATCGCGTATTGCAGCGCCTTTATATAGAGCTCTTTCACGAAAACGTCCAGAATATTCCAGAATATTCAAGTAAATACGCGCGCCAACCGACCAAGCGCAGAAAGTTCGAGTGTGCGGCTTCCAGAAAGCTTAATTCTTCTGTTCGATACTAGATGGCGCTCTTGGTTGAAAGACTAGTCATGTATTTTCTGGAAAGCTCTCCTCGCTCTGTTACCCGACCAGATGGCGCTAGTGCCAGATGTCAACTTAGCCGCGCAACACTGCCCCCTCCTAAGACATGCTCGTCCCGAGCATTATCGGCCCCATAATAACACGCCAGGCGATCCATATGGACGATCTTAGGAGTCTCCTTGCGCCTTTCTGTATCCGGTAGGTTACATCGTTGATCCTGGTCACAATCCGGTACGGGCCGTCCCATTTAGCTTGAAGCTTAGGAGATTTCCTTTTGATGCGGACTGGATTGTGCAACCACACTAGTAAACCTTCGTCGAACCCTCTGTTGTTCATTTTGCGGTCATACCGGGTTTTCATCTTTTCAGACATTTGCTGGCCCGATTGTCTGACGTGCTCATAAATGTCATTCATTTTGTTCTGCAAGTCATTTGCATAATCGGTTATACTTCGTGGGGCATCAGGTGGTATCCCGGTGATCAGGTCTGCAGGCAGCCGTAATTCTCTTCCAAAGTTTGCGAAAGCTGGTGTCACTGATGTATTTTCGTGAACAGCGCTTCGATATGACAAAAAAACGGTTGTATGTGCTTGTCCCAATCTCGTTGCCGGTTATCTACAACTTTTGCTAGGTACCTCTCCAATGTCTGATTACATCGTTCTACCATTCCATCAGATTGCGGGTGATAAGAAGTCTTTCTTGTTTTATGAGTACCCATAACTCGGCAAGTTTCCTGGAATATTTGAGATCAAAAATCCTTACTTGATCGCTGTGAATCTCTAAAGGTACTCCAAAGCGACAGAAGACTTCATGAACTAGTTTATCTGCAACTGTTGAAGCTTCTTGATTTGGAATGGCGAAGACTTCTGGCCACTTAGTGAAGTAATCCATCACAACCATGAAATACTTGTTATCGCTTTCACTCTCTGGAAACGGCCCCGCCACGTCAATGGCTATTCTCTCCCATGGTGCACAGACATTGTACAACTTCAATGCACCTCTACTACGAGTCTGAGGTCCCTTTACAGCCGCACAACTTGTACATTTGCGATACCAGTCCTCGACATCGTTTCGACAGTGGACCCAATAAAACCGTTCTCGGATCTTCAGTAGAGTTCGTTTAACTCCCAGATGGCCTCCTGAACAATCATTATGGTACAGCTGTAGAACATTCGACACTTTAGCTTTAGGGACAACCATTTGCAAACGACAGCTGTCTCCTCGACCATTGTCCCATTTACGGCACAGGACTCCATCCTGAATCAGCAAGCTATCCCATTGGGCCCAATAGCTTTTCGTGGTTGAACTCATCGCTGAGACGTCCCTCCACTTAGGCTTGGTAGCACGGGCCTTCATCCATTCCAGAATCGGCTTGATGTCCGGATCTTCCTGCTGTGCATGTCGTAGGCTGTCCTTCCACTCGTTGTTGAGGTGGTCTGTCCTGAGCATCCTCACGGATACCACTTCCTTACTCTCTTGCCTAGTACAATGGTTGCAATCTTCAGGACAAGGTCTTCTTGACAGTGCATCTGCGTTGCCGTGAGATTTCCTGCTGCAGTGTCTGATAGTAAAGTCGTATTCCTGCTGCTGCTGGGCGGTGCTGTTAGCCGCACTTCCTTTCTGAGACCGCTCACCTTCCCTTCCTAGGGTGTGCTTAGGGCAGCTGGATCGAAGATGGTCCGTTTCCCCACAGCCATAGCACCTAGGGTTCCAGGTGAGCGTCGCCATATCTCGCCTCCAATGCCTCAAGGAGTTGCTCATAAGTCACTTCCTCACCGAGGGCTTCCAGAAATGTTAAGGCCTGGTCGCGCAGGCCTAGTGTGAGAGCAGTCATGGCTTGATTTTTATTCCAGCCGTTCGCCTTCATAACAGCCTCGAACTGGATTTTGTAGGCTGACCAGGAAGAAGTCCCGTCGAACGGTGGCACCTTGAACCCATGTAGCGAAGGTGTAGTAGCTACTACGGGAGCTGTAGTTCCATCCCCAAGTTTTAGTTCGTCCAGTGATTTCTTCATGTCAGACATTACGTTGTCAACCCGATTGTTCACTTGGTCGATTTAGGTTTCAGCTTCCGACAGGCGGTTGTCATGTTGAGCAACCTTATCCTTCACCTCCCTTATCTCTTTCCCGAAGGTAGCGTGAATGTCCTTCATGAGGAGCATCTGCTCTTCCTTATCGCGCTTGAGCTGCTCTTCCAACCGACGGGCCTGTTCCTCCTGTCGGCGGGCCTGTTCCTCCTGTCGGCGAGCCTGTTCATCCTGTCGGCGAGCCTGTTCCTCCTGCTGCTCTTTCAACCAACGGGCCTGCTCCTCCTGTCGGCGAGCCTGTTTTTCCTGTTGCTCTTTCAACCAACAGGCCTCCTCCTCCTGTCGGCGAGCCTGCTCCTGCAGCATCACCATCAGAGCACCTAAGTCAGGTGCTGCAGATGTAGGAGCTACTGACGGGCCTGCAGCCGGCGGCTGGCCCTCCGACGTCTGCGGCGTTGCACCACCAAATCTTCTTTGGTCCGTCTCCTGCTGGCTCCGTTTCCTCCTTAGGTAAAATCGGCATGATTTTATCCCACTTCTGACACCAATTGTTACGAGCTTGAGGTTCGTGACAATAAAAATTGCCGATAGAATTACCTAAATTAACACTTTATTTTTCTTTACACAAATTAAGACTTAAAACACCAATAATTAATCACACTGATTCACTTTATTCCGCTCCGAAGCTTCGCTTGTGTCGCCAAATTCAATACTTCCCCGATCGCGTATTGCAGCGCCTTTATATAGGGCTCTTTCACGAAAACGTCCAGAATATTCCAGAATATTCAAGTAAATACCGACCAAGCGCAGAAAGCTCGAGTGTGCGGCTTCCAGAAAGCTTAATTCTTCTGTTCAATATTAGATGGCGCTGTTGGTTGAAAGACTAGTCATGTATTTTCTGGAAAGCTCTCCTCGCTCTGTTACCCGACACCAGATGGCGCTAGTGCCAGATGTCAACTTAGCCGCGCATCAATACCATGAGCGAGGATGGAAAATGACCTCGTTGGACACACGGAATGCGGTTGCTCGCTTCTTCACTACTGTGTGCGTACACCTTATCATTTTGTTTGTTGTAGCTCTCTTCTACGGTAAAAATTTTTTCATCCGCAAAAAGAATTTCCCGATACCGCTTTTTCCCGCGTACCGCTTCGACAAAGCGCGGCATCTCTTCTCTCAGGTCCATTAGACGAGCATTCAAACTTCGATATGCCCGAAGCCCTAAGTCTTCATTTAACACCCTTTTCACCGTGGTTCTGCTTAACCCCATCTGAAGGGTCAACAGTTTCTGCTTACGTTTGGGATTTCTTTGATTTCGCGCCCTCACAGCTTCCTAGCAGATCCTAACAGTCCTAACAGATCGAGGGCGACCATTTCATGACCTGTCATCTACACTAAAGTCTTCATTGTATCGTTTGATGGTACGATAAACGAATCTTTTGGTTATATTCAAATTTTTCAGTATGTCAAAAATTTGAATTGGCGCTTAACCGCAACGATGCAACGCAATAACTGCAACACGGTCCTTTAAGCGTCCACTCCATATTTAAAAATGAGTAAAATTCTAAAAAGTATACAGTTTTATTTTCATGAACAATTCGAAATTCGAATTCAATAAACTTTTTTGTGGCCAGCATTCTAAAAGAAAAGTTTTTACTGTGTGACAATACTTATGACCTGACTGTGTAAATATATCTTTGCGTGACGCAATGATCTATTTATAGGACATAAAGGGAAAGGAAGTGACCCGCAGGGTAATACCCGCAGGGGCATCTTCGTCGGCGCCGAAATAGATAATTGGCAGTAAGTAAATCTCCTCAGTAGTTACAGGGAATTCCCCGCTTTTAAGTGTTTACAAATAGTTTCAACTTTATAATTTAAAAAAAATATTAAATTAAATTATTTTAATATAGAGATCAGTGCGACGTATTGAAACGTATTTTGTTCAAAAATATTAA